CAAAGGGGCGGAGTCCCTGTGCCGACGCCCCGTTCCAATCTTCCTGTGAGGGTTGCTTCGGACGCTGGCGCGGGTGACCTGAGCATTACAGTGACCGCGCTTCCTTCGGGGAACCAACCCCCTAGGAACCCTCACTCCTCTCAGTCTCTGCAACCATGTGAGCTGCCAAGGGAGCGCGGTGGACCATCCATGAGGTGTGTACCAACCGTTTCCTTTGGCGCTTCCGGCGATGAACAGATGTCGATCGCGGCATCGGAGGGTGGGTCAGATGTCTCTGCGGATGACATGTCGGAGCCGCTGCCTCTTTCGGGGGTGCCAGCGGTGCCTGATACGGACCCGGAGATGATGGCCATGTTTTCCCGGGCCGCCGACAGGGTCGGGCTCGTGTGGAACCCTCCACCGGGTCCTGAACCCTCGAGTCTGGATGATTGGTATCTCGAGGTGGCGCGTGCTGGCTCTCAGCAACCCACCCCGGTGCCTTTCTTCCCGGAGGTGCATGAGGAGCTCACTGGGACGTGGACGGCACCTTTTACTGCCTGAAACCGTAATTCCACCTAACTCCACTTGGCGCGGAGAACCGTATCTCCCTTCCAGGGCCTGTAAGTACTCGTCGGATTTAACCGGCAAGGTTTACAAGGCCTGTGGGGAAGCTGCCTCTGCTGTGCACGCTTTGGCGTTGCTCCAGGTCCATCAGGCCAAGGCACTGAAGGAACTGGACGAGGGTGGTCATGACCCACTGGTGTTCCAAGAACTCCGGAGGGCGACGGACCTCGCGCTTCATGCAACGAAGGTTACCGCTCGCTCAGTGGGCCGTGCGATGTCCACCATGGTGGTCCAGGAACGCCATCTCTGGCTGTGTCTGGTTAGCGCACCCCAGTCCGTCTCGCTGGCTCATCTGGACCATCAGGCTCGGCTATGCGATTCAGTTCGCCCGGCGTCCCCCCAAGTTTTGGGCCATCCACTCCACTACAGTGAGAGCAGCCGATGCCCATGTCTTGCGCACGGAGATCACAGTCCTACTGGCGAAGGACGCGATAGAGCCGGTCCCTCCAGCCGATATGAAGTCAGGGCACTACAGTCCCTACTTCATTGTACCCAAGAAAGGTGGTGGGTTACGACCAATCTTGGACCTGCGAGTTTTGAATCGGAGCCTCCACAAGCTACCGTTCAAAATGCTCACGCACAAACGCATCTTCGAGTGCATCCATCCCCGAGATTGGTTTGCAGCGATCGACCTGAAGGACACATACATTCATGTCTCGATTCTCCCTCGACACAGGCCGTTTCTGCGCTTTGCGTTCGAGGGTCGAGCATATCAGTACAAGGTCCTACCCTTCGGGCTGTCCCTGTCCCCCCATGTCTTCACAAAAGTCGCAGTCGTTTCTCCCATGAGAGAACAGGGTGTTCGCATCCTCAACTATCTCGACGACTGGCTCATACTAGCACACTCTCGAGATCAGTTATGCGATCACAGGGACCTTGTGCTCAGGCACCTCAGCCAGTTGGGTTTTCGGGTCAACTGGGAGAAGAGCAAACTCGCCCCCGTGCAGAGGATCACTCTTCTCGGTATGGAGTTGGATTTGGTCGCACAAACAATGCGCCTCACAGAGCAGCGTGCTCAGTCGGTGCTGGACTGCTTGAACACATTCAAGGGCAGGATGGCGGTCCCACTGAAATTCTTTCAGAGGCTCCTGGGGCATACGGCAGCAGCAGCAGCGGTAAGCCTGCTCGGCTTGCTTCATATGAGACAGCTTCAGCACTGGCTTCACGGCCGAGTCCCAAGATGGGCGTGGCATCATGGCACTCACCGGGTGGCAATCACTCCGGCCTGCCATCAGACCTTCAGCCCGTGGTCAGATCCTTCGTTCCTTCGGGCAGGAGTCCCCTTGGAACAGGTATCCAGGCATGCTGTGGTATTCACAGATGCCTCTGCCACCGACTGGGGTGCCACGTACAACGGGCATGCAGTATCAGGTGTGTGGAAGGACCCTCATCTGCATTGGCATATCAATTGCCTCGAGTTGCTAGCAGTACACCCCGTCTGAAAAGGCTGCTGCAGGGCAGGGATGTGTTGGTCCATACGGACAACACTGCGACCGTTGCTTATATCAACCGGCAAGGTGGTCTACGCTCCCGTCGTATGTCACAACTCGCCCGCCATCTCCTCCTCTGGAGTCAGAAGCATCTGAGGTCGCTTCGAGCCATGCATGACCCCGGTGTGCTCAACCATGTGGCCGACGAGCTATCACGAGCCGTGCTCCCGGGAAAATGGTGACTCCACCCCCAGGTGGTTCAGCTGATCTGGAGAGAGTTTGGGGAGGCTCAGGTAGACCTGTTTGCCTCCTCCGAGACCTTCCACTGCCAGCTGTTTTACTCCATGACCGAGGGAACACTCGGCACGGACGCACTGGCACACAGCTGGCCCCGGGGCCTTCGCAAATATGCATTTCCCCCAGTGAGCCTTCTTGCACAGACACTGTGCAAAGTCAGGGAGGACAAGGAGCAGGTCCTTCTGGTGGCTCCCTACTGGCCCACTCGGACCTGGTTCCCAGAACTTATGCTCCTTGTGACAGTCCCTCCCTGGCCCATTCCTCTGAGGAAGGATCTTCTGACTCAGAGACGTGGCACCCTATGGCACCCGCGTCCAGACCTCTGGAAACTCCACGTCTGGTCCCTGGATGGGACGCAGAGGTTCTAGGTGACTTACCCCCAGAGGTACTACAGGTACCTGAAGTGGAACCTGTTCGTCGAGTGGTGCTATTCTCGCCGAGAAGACCCCCGAAGATGTTTGATAGGGTCCGTGCTTTCCTTTTTGCAGCAAGGGTTGGAGCGAAGACTGTCTCCCTGCACCCACAAAGTCCATGCTGCTGCTATTTCAGCTTATCACGACCACATCGATGGCAAAACAGTTGGAAAGCACGACCTGGTCGTCAGGTTTCTTAGGGGGGGCGAGACGATTTAATCTTCCTCGAACCCCCTCCATACCCTCTTGGGATCTTTCCCTGGTGCACCGAGCATTTCAGGACGTTCCCTTTGAGCCTTTGCAATCAGTGGATTTAAAGCTTCTTTCCATGAAGACTTTGATCCTGGTTGCATTGGCCTCTGTCAAGAGGGTAGGAGATCTGCACGCATTTTCGGTCGACGAATCGTGCCTAGAGTTCAGGCCGGGTGACAGCCACGTGGTATTAAGACCCCAGCCTGGCTATGTGCCCAAGGTTCCTACCACTCCCTTTAGAGACCAGGTAGTGAACCTGCAAGCGCTGCCTTTGGAAGAGGCAGACCCAGCCCTGGCTTTGCTCTGTCCCGTTCGCGCTCTGCGTATGTACGTGGACAGAACTCAAAGCATCAGGACCTCAGACCAGCTCTTTGTCTGTTACGGAGGCCAGCAGAAGGGAAAGGCTGTCTCCAAGCAGAGGATGGCCCACTGGATAGTGGATGCCATCGCCTTGGCTTACCAAGCTCAAGGCGTGCCCTGCCCACTCAGGTTGCATGCACACTCCACGAGAGGCGTTGCATCCTCCTGGGCGCTGGCTCGTGGCGCCTCGCTAACAGATATCTGTAGAGTTGCGGGCTGGGCGACACCTAACACGTTCGCTAGATACTATAGTCTACGTGTAGAGCCGGTCTCCTCCCGTGTTCTCACCCTAAATGGGTAGAAACACTGAGAGGCCCGGCTCTGTCGGCTTGCTGCACCCTACTGTGCAACCTTATTGCTCCAGAGTGAAAAACCTGTTGAGTCCTCCAACACCCCTCGGCCCGGACATGGAGCGTCCGGAGCCAGGCCCCGGTCCGCTGAATTCTTGAGAGCCGGACTCGGGCTGGGTTCCATATGTGCGACCCTTCGGGGATCCCATATGTGTATATGTTCCACGGCTGCTCCTAAGTCGGAAGCTCGTGTCTTTCCCTTGGGCTAAGTCACCCATTAATTCATATGCAGTACAGCCTTCGGGTTAGTTCATATGTATTTTCCACATAACTCTCTGAAGAAAGTGGGTTCCGCAGCATTCCCCTCCCTCTAAAAAGGGCACGCTTTCCCAGTGTTATCCAAGTCTCACTGTATGGGTTATTAAGGAACAACAGTGTCAGACACTCTCTGTGTAATCCTCCTCCTATCGTCCTTCCAGGCAAGAAGGTGTAGAGGCTTGCATGGGGCGCTGGATGGTGTGCAGCGACTGTGGCGCTTTGGTAGGGATTCCTATAGGTCAGTCTGACCTATGTTGTAGTAACTGACCGATAGGGAACGTCTCGGTTACATATGGTAACCCTCATTCCCTGAGGGAGGGAACAGAGACGTAGGTCCCGTCGCCACATCTGCTGCTGCCCGCCGGGGGGCCGGCTTTTCAAGTTTGGCTCCTCAGCAAAAAACTGAAGCGCAATCACACAGCCGCTCGTTATATACCCGCGCTGATGAGGACGCGCAGCTGTTGCAAATGATTGCACGCCAATGTGCATTGGCTTGTTTTAGATCCACTCGAAGTAAATTGGCTCTCTAGCGAGATTCCTATAGGTCAGTCTGACCTACGTCTCCGTTCCCTCCCTCAGGGAACGAGGGTTACCATATGTAACCGAGACGTTATTTGTCATTGTTCAAGACAGGCATGTTAAGGGAGGGCTTTAGTGAAGCGCTGCAGAGCTTCTGTCCTAACGGTGGAAACACAGTGTGATTTTTGTGCTTGGTGCTACAGGTCCAAGGCTATTAACACCGCCTGACCCTTGAAAGCCCTGGCTCACACTGGCCTGACAGTGGGGAAAGCGGCTAATGTGTGTTGGAGCGATATTTATTTTAATATTATCGTTATAAGAGAATATTAATCTATTTATTTATTATTTTATTCAGAGCATGCAGTTATGACAACAATATATCAGGTTTGTCTGAACCAAGGTTTATATTTTTTTCAACAACATTTATATACAAGTATAAATAACAATGTTTTTTGTTTCAACAGCTTCCCCATGATAGCAATAATAATTCCCAATAATAGCAACTGGTGATTCTGCATATTTGACGCTTTCACTGGTATGCAGATGTTTTAGGGATGTGGTCACAAATGAAATTTTCCAGAAAGCAGCACACTTTGCCTGGCTAGACAGTAAGATGTTTTTTCCTGTTCAATGCACATTTCTTGGATTGAAATTTGTGGTATGTGACATTTAAACTTGAATCTCCACACTTTGTCACTTGAATCGCCACACTCTGTATTTTGTCTTTACATTTTAAGGTGTGGTCAACTAGAAAAAAAATTTCTCTGGACTACTGTGATGAGTTTCGACGGATCTACAGCTTCAGGGAATGCTCAGAGCTTTTCAAGTCCTATCCACCAGGGTACAGGGGAAGAGGAAGACGAGGGGAACTGCTGGGCTTTTACTCCGAAGATCTTTGTACAGGATTTTGCTCGCAGGACTGTTTTTTTTTTTTTTTTTTTTGCTGCAGGAAATTAATTTCTGTAAAACTCAAAACTTACATGAGAATTGACAGATAAACTGGTTTTGATGTAGTAATTGATGCAAATAAAAGTTAAACTTACAGGTCAAATTTGAAAAATTAGAATATTGTGCAAAAGTTCATGTTCAGTAATTCAAATTAAAAGGTGAAACTAATATGTTTAGTATGAATAACTATATATGCATATGGCATGATTATATATATACTTTTCAGAGGGCTTACATTTTTGTAATATTCTAATTTTGTGTTCATCAAAATTATAACTTTTGCACGATATTAAAATTTTTCGAGTTTCACCTGTATAATGTTCTAATGAAAAGCTATGGCAAAAACATAGGTTTCACTAATTGTGCATATGGTAAAGTACCTTGGTTCTTTAAGGTTTGCATAAATTCCATTCTGCTGATGTATAAGTGCAGTTTGGAGTCTATAATAAAGAAAAAGTGACAGTCTTTGTTTTGTTGTGTTCTTAAAAGCATGTATAGATACTTCCTTTTAAGTTTATTATAGCACAACCATAGTTATTGATTATATTTATGTAAACGCACAAATACTATAATTATCATAGTTAATTTGTGATTACCATGGCTTTTTGGAGCTATGATCAGTGAAGTTTAACAGCCGTAAATGTAGTTTAAAAAAAAAAAAAGTTTGTAGGATCTTACGGAAACTCGTGGTTACTATCAGGTGAGACTGGTGACATGTCCGCTATAGTTTGCTATCTATCTATCTATCTATCTATCTATCTATCTATCTATCTATCTATCTATCTATCTATCTATCTATCTATCTATCTATCTATCTATCTATCTATCTATCTATCTATCCATCCATCCATCCATCCATCCATCCATCCATCCATCCATCCATCCATCGAGAGAGAGAGAGAGAGAGAGAGAGAGAGAGAGAGCGCGAGATGTCGGACCATCTAACTTACTACAGCTGTTGAGGAAGTGATTGTGAATTAGACCATTATTTCTATTCTCTTTGTATTTATACTTAAATGGAATATTGTGGAATCACATTAATGACTGCAAAATCAAAGTTTATTTGTATGTTGTGTTCTTCCGCATTCCCAGCCGGCCCAAAGCATCACACTTCTCTGCACCAATGATCTGTAATAGCGTCACAGTTCTCTGCACCAATTGATCATCTTTATTATAAACCAATAAATGTTAAGGTGTCGCCCCGCCCCATCGTCCAGAGCAAAGAACGTATATTGACAAGAAGTGAAAGCCAATAGAACGTTCGATTGCAACACCAGCGCCCAGCAGCAGCCCTATGCTTCCGCCATTTCGGGGTGAAAGCGACTCGGCAGTCATATAATATACATATATTTAGTCCAGTGCAGAGATCATTTTTAGGTTGAAATAATTAGGCTAGGTGATTATTTAACTCACAACAGTTAACTTTATAGCAGTTAAAAAAGAAGTTGCTACTTAACCGGGCTTTTACCTCCACATAACTTGAGAAAGGGAAGTTTGAGGATTTAATTCATTATATTACTCTCCACATTAAGTGTGATGGGTAAGAATAAAGTGATATCAGTTCATAAAGTTATAATAACATAGACCGTTTCCCGGGAGGTACACATAACGTTACTTACAAATATAAGTTATCAATGAAATAAATTCAGCAAATGAATGTTGTACTAAAATGTAAATGTTTGACAATAAATATATAACAGCAATAGAATAGTTTACAGTAAACAGTTTTTTTTTTTTTTTGCAGTACTAGCCTATCTTATATTAATGACGCAAGACCATGTAAAAAAAAAAAAAAAAAAAAACACAGCCAATGTCCAAAGTGGCAATTAGTTTTAGGATAACGGACACAGCGCATCAATGATCATCATGTTTGTAGCATGATCCAAGGGATTAAAACGTCCAAAATATATTTCAGGCCTAGTGGAGTTGGTAACTAATAATAGTAGTAAAAGTGTAAAGTTGCATACAATGGAAATACTCACTAATGCAAGAAAAAACTACCTCAAAAAACTGTTATCTGTGCTGTTGTCCAGTAACTCCAGTTGGAATTTTCACCCCGATATGGCTGCTGCGCTACCGAAGCGCCATCTAGTGGTTGTTACCAAAAAAGCATCAGAGTTTCGCCTCTTGTTCTTCTATACTCTTTGTCCAGAGTGCACTCTGGGGTACTACCTTTCTTACTGTCTATGGGTACTACTCTGTCACCGCTCGTCAATGTCGAAATATTTGAGATGACCAATCAAATCAAAGTAGGCGGGTGTAACGAGTCAAATATGTGTTTCCACTTGCTATTCACTTTAATGAATGGCCCCTTTAAATCGCACCCTCCGCCCAGATTTGGTAGTTGGATGAACTGGTTCCGGTAGGGTCAATTAGATTCACGCCAGCCGCGAGAGTGAATGGCTGCGGTGAGTGAGTACTCCATGAGTATAACATATAGTGATAAATGTATAACCCTTTTATGGGTTTATACCTCGAGTTGTATGTGTTTAGATGTATGTTATTTGATTTGTGCCTGTGCCACTGATATGTATTGCAATATTAAGTTTAATGTTCACCTCCATTATAGAACACCACGAGGGTGACTGCTGAAACTGATCACCACTGTTCTATTATTCAACAGGTACAGTTTATGAGTTTCAAATGTGTGTATTATAACTGTTTATGAAGTTTATGTAAATGAGTAATGAGATTCGCGCCAGCCGCGAGAGTGAATGGCTGCGAACACCACGAGGGTGACTGCTGAAACTGATCACCACTGTTCTATATTATTCAACAGAATAAAAAGCCATCAGAAAGCTTGATTTGGTGTCCATCTTGAGTAAACAACAACACAACGCAGAGAAAACACTGTTACAATGGTGCCGTGACCGTGACTCTGGAAGCAGCGTGGTGAACGACTGATCGGAGATTTCCGGAGAAGTTCGTGCCGTGGTTGATGAGAGTTTTCGTGCCGAAGCTGGTTGGTGCAATACCGGATTTGTCCACAAGGAGGAGTAAAGGAACACATTTCACTGCTGAGAGCAACACAGTTCTGGTATTGTGGTATCCATTTGAAAGCAACATTGACTTATTTTACAAAAATAATCGTTTAAGATTGAACATTTTGAGATTATTTTTTTGTGAACTTTTTGAAAAAAAAAGAAAGAAAGAAAGCAATTTTTTCCCCTTTCCCCTGATGACTGAGGTTTAACGGAAAATATTATTGGAGAGACTGAAAAGTAGCAAATTCATTTTTACTGGACTTTGAACTCTGATTATTTTTTACCTCTCTTTTTCTGAAAGTGCTTTTCTGAAGTTTTGAAAAAAAGTATATATCTTTTTTTTTTTTTCGGGGGAGTTATATATTTTGTTCTTCATTGATAGTGTCAATATAGAATATGGATCCAGACAACAGTTTTGGAAGAGGTAGAGGTCTATTCATGTTTACTCCTATGACATCAGTTGGGAGAGGCAGACTTGATTATGCGCCTGTCACATCTACTCCAATGTCCCCCTTAGAGGCTGTACAAGATGTAAATGACACTTCAAGTCCTCAACATCCCAAGTTCAGTGACAGTGAACTGAAACAACCCAGTTTGAGAGGGGATGAGTCGATGGACTTAATAGTGGGTATGGTAGAATGAATGGGACGCTCAATTGGGGAGAGCATTGCTTCCTGTTTAGGGTCTAATGCTGGGCTTACACCAAAGGATTTTCACAGTCCCAGACTAAAGACCGGCAGTCTTTAGGAATCTCACTGAAATCTCGGCGCTTCCGTCATCTCGATCTTTAAATGTGAGGTGATAATCTGCAGTCGACGACCCGATTTTTGCCAGTCTTTCTGTAGTCTTTCATATCAAACATGTTTGATATTATCGTAAGTCCTAGCGTAGTCCTAGTGATGTAAAACAATCAACAACCAATAAAATTGAGGTTTGCATGTCCACCTCTCACACCGGAGACACAAGTTCGAGACCCACTCATGGGAGCTGTCCAGGGCCTGAAATTAACTTTTTCGGCCACCGGCCACTGTGGCAGGTGGATTTAAAAATTCACCTGCCACAGAGACTTTTTACCAGCCACTTTTTTTTTTTTTTTTTTTTTTTGCCTCATATTTTGCCTCAGCCAAAAAATGGCTGGTAAAAAGAACAATATTGTGAAATTTCTGTTTTTTTTTTCCTTCACCTTTATAGAAAGGTGAAAAAACGGGAATTTCACAATATTGTTCTTTCACTTGTAAGAATACACATTTAAGTTCTGTCAAGTAATAATAAAAACTCTAAGAACATACATTTTTAAAAAAAAAATCGTTTTATTCATTGATTTTGACACTCACACAATATAGCCTAGTATAGGCTATAGTATATACTCAACACAGGCAGACCTACCGCAGCTCGTATGTAAACAAATCACACGCGGCTGTGTTGATGGATGATTTAGTCACGTAGACAGATCCTGACAGCTTTTAGTTACAGCGTTCAGGAACCGTTAACTATGAACTAAATTAATATTGTTATTACTGGTAAAGTTACCGGGTACCGGATATTTTCTCACTGGTTCCATCCCAACTCCCAACACACATCTGTGCAACTCTCATTGTACTGTAGGCTACATCAGCGTTACATTATCTCATCCCATCTCACCAACAGTTTAATACTCGCACATCCAAACGTAGTCAGAAAAGGGCCTCGTCTTCTTCTGATCGCATGAACGTTACGAAACAACAGTTGCTGTCATAAATCAGCCGCTTTACGAACCTTGCCATTGCCGCCAATTGTCCACTTTGTATTAAAATGTCTTCTTTTACTTTTCTTTTTCTCATCCTCATATTTTTGTTGGTTGTTTGTTTCAGCTGGCCTCTTTACCCCAGTAATGTGCCGCCACATTTTAGCTAAAGTCAAACGCAATGGCAGACTTAGTTGAAATTTTAAAATCCTTATGAATCACTCAATTCTCATTGGCTATACCTGCCAATGTGGCAGGTAGATTGACAGTGTTACCCGCCAATAGAAAAATTCACCCGCATTTGGCAGGTGGTCGGGTGTTAATTTCAGGCCCTGGAGCTGTCTCAGGGAGCCGGCTGGATGTGATGGTGATTACACATTGTTTCCTGATATTGACTTTTTTCCTTACCAGAAACGTTTTTATATCTACTAGGGCTGGGCGATATGGAGCAAAAAAATATAGCTCGATATATGATAGAAAGCAGAACGTGGGTAATTTTATATAGCCGTATTTACCGCACTTAAGGCGCACCTTCAACGAATGACCTATTTTAGAACATTTTTCATATATACGGCGCACTGGATAAGGCACATAAGATACTATAGTCACATGTTTGACTGGGTTTACGTTATGCATCCACTAGATGTGCTGGGAATGTAGCAAGTGCGCCGCGCCGGAGGTGAGGCGTTTATTAGTGTGAGCGCGCTCGGGCGGGCACGTAACTTACATTCGCATGCTGACTCATATGAGCATTCAAT